CAGCAGGATAATGGAATGTCCTATCTCCCCAAAGTCTGCTCATCATAAACAGTCCATCCCTCCTTGCTGACTCCAAGAGCTATATAAACATACTGCAATCCAATCCACTACAGTTCATAGAAATCCTTGCTTTAAGTAATCCATAAAATGCCAATCTAATACAAATAGAAGAAAAGTTCTTGCTAACACAACATTTTGTATTTACAGTATTCTGAACAGTGCTTAAACCTACACTTATTGTAAAAAAAAAGTCACTCCCCTCACAGTCTCCCAGACGAGGCTGACAGCTCGCTTAGTTCTCTCATTTACACCACATTGCAGTAACATAAAGAAGGGTTTACTATTAATCCAGGTTTTACTACAAAGCAGCCCGTTATTTCTCTGTCAAACACTGGCAAAAGTGCCAAGTGTCTGTCATCCAATTCAGAGGATTAAGTCTTCTTTTATAGTCTGATACTTGTACCAATTTATAAAAATACAGATATAGTTTCTTAGGGTTGGTCACAGTCTATATTTTGGCTTGGATTCAGGCAGCAGAGGTTGACTATGACAGCTGGCAGGAAACTGAAGGGAGAATACATCCTCCCCCTCAGTCAGCACATCTTAGTTGCCATAGTGATTAATCCGTAATTGAATACTGTCTTTGTACATTTCTTTTAGAAAAACTTTAAGTAAACTTAAGTGGAAAACGTGCAGTTGATTGAAAAAGAGAGGCATCACATCACAAACAGGTATAATTAAGTTTTGTGACATACTTCCATACAGTAAAAGAACAAATTAACCCTAATAAGGGTATTATCAGTTCCTTCAAGTATTTTTTGTAGTCTGAGCATAAACCTAAGGCACATAGGTTTTTCCCTCCACACATTACATCGTTTAAAATGCTATTTTTAAAAATGATTTTACAATATCCAAGTATAAGTTATGGCAAAACATGTTCCTATCATGCATGCTATTTTCCACAGTTTGCATTCGTAATTAATTTTAGCAGAGCTGGGTTTTAGTTTAGGACACCTATAAAATACTCTATAGATAGGAATTAACTCATAAAAATATAAACTATAAGAAATAAAATGAAACTAAGATACATATTAGCCTCAAATACCTGGATGCATTTGAAAAGCAGGTTCCTAGTTTTTGCCATTCTGATATATATCAAAAATTATATCAGAAAGATTGAGAAACTCTAAAGATAAGAGTTTATCTAGTACTGTGGTACCCAATACTTCTTTGCTGCAAGTTTTCCAGTTAGTATGCATATCGCTTTGAAAGCTCATTAAAGGCTCTAACTCAAGACTCAGCTCCAGTGCACCGCAGAAGGTGAATTACTGGCATGCAGTGTTCGCTGCTATTCATGTGTTGGCTTCGCGTGCATACACCTGCACAGGACTCATCTGGTGTTCCTGGAGAGTGAGAAAGTATGTGTGCACCTCACTGTCAACATAAACATGCCCAAATATTCATATCACACATACTCTTTTCAAACACAGGTAGAGTACTTTAATGAAACATGGATGACACACATCAAGTACCCAGAAAAATTCTCAGTAATTGGAAAGATTTTGGATTTCAGCCTCAGATGAAAGACACCATACTGTAGGTGGGTGGCCTGGGGTTTTATTGACACTTTAAGAACAAGAGATTATCTTGATCTCTTGTGTTCTTCATTTGTTTTATTATTTTTTTTTTCTTCTCATAATTATTTTTAAAAGGTCTCAGACTTCAAATTCACTATTACCACCCACTCACACGACAGGCTGCAAAACCTCTCAGTTAAGTATATAAATATCTCTGAGCAAAGACAGCAGTGTTAGTGATTCCCTCACTAAAGAGGCTGAAGTAATACTGCTCTGCTATGACAAGATCAGTGCCTCTGAACACTTCTGTTGCTCAGAAGTTCCATGAGACAGCTCATGAAATGTGGCAAAGGAATTTTACTCTACTGAAATGAGTGTTCTTGAACATACTGCTTGGCCAGCTAGCACTGGTGGTATGGGACTGAACCCCCCTTAGTGGCTTTAAAACTTCTTTGAACATTTGATATCTGCCATAATTTATTCAGGAAGAAACAAATTTCTTCATATTCCCTGAAAAGGCTATACAAATTTGGTGCATGTACAGTAGGTACAATATATGGCCTGGGAAAACATATTAGGAACCCCAGGGGGCAGCTATTCCAGTTTTTTTCTTGGTACGAAACTGCTCTTCACTCTGAAAATCACTGAAGGAAGAAGGTTTCCAATGAGATTGTGTTCCCCACCTCAAAAATGTTGGGGCTGGAAAGGTTAAAGGCAAAGTATATTTGCATTTTTACAACTTTCTAAGGTTACACAGGACCTGGTTTATTGCTGCTATATATAAGGTTGTTTCTCAAGTTCACTTTTGAGAGAATTGTATGTCTTTAAATTTCTTCTCTGAGAAATATTTAGATAAATTTAAACCAAGTTAAATTATCCAGTTAAATTATTTCATTAAAATATAAAACAGGTTGCCAAATTATCTGACCTTTCATGTTAACATCTGTTTGGTAAAGATGATGGTTTAAAAAAAAAATCACCCTAATTAAAAAACAAAATCGGATATATAAGGTGTGACTGAAAAGTAGTTAACATATAAAATTTTAAAATGAGTTACAGCAAAAGACACAGTGCCATTAAGTCCCCTCAATATACTCCCCACTGCTTTAAACACACATAGTCCATCACTTGTGTCATTCTCTGAAGCAGTTCTGGAAGTCTTCTTTTGTGAATGTCTTCAGTTGTGCTGTCATGGCTGCCTCAATGTCCAAAACCGATTAAAAATGTTTATCTTTCACGTTCTTTTTGACTTGGGGAAAAGCCAGAAGTCACAAGATGTGAGATCTGGTAAATAAACTGGGTAAGGACAACCATAATGTTTTTATAAGCCTGCCTTTTGTGTGGATGGCATTTGCCAGCCACATTCACTGTTTTTACTGTAAAGACATTCACAAGAGGACTTTCAGAATTTCAGAATGTAGCAAGTATGATGGGCTAAGTGTGTTCAAAACAAGGGAAAACAGTTTGAGGGGAATTACTGGCAATGTGCCTTTTACTGTAATACATTTTAAAAATTTAAACATTTATTTACCATCTATTTGGATCATACCTTATACTCTATATATCCTAATGAAGCAAATTTCTAGAATACTCAATACATTTCTGCCTTTTCAGATGGCTCCTACAAGGCAGTCTACTGTAGAAGTGCTATGGAGAGTAGTTAAATTAAAAGATGGTATGTATTTAATCAAATACGAGTTTCCGTTACCCTAGTTGGGTCATGAACAACTTCTTTAAACTGTATTTTGGCAATGGGCCTTTGTAGTACACTGAAATACTGAAAGTGTCATTATATTCACCCTAAGGATATTCCTCTTTATTAGTTCATTTAGTGGTCTGCAATTAAAGCCAGAATTGACAAATTTCCTTCAAATTAGGTCTAGGAAAAGCTTTATTTCTTCTGAAAGAAGCAGAGTTTTGTTGTTTTTTCCACCTTAAGGAGACAATTTACCTCAGGGTTCATCAGCAGGGTGCTATGGTCTTTTGGGCAGAATAATCCTTTCTGGGAGGAATTGCTGCCCACTCCACTTCTTCCCCCTGTCCCAGACAGCCATTTAGTAGCACTGACCTCCAAGTATCAGTTGGGCATATGGTAATTGTAACCACCCAAACTTCCCATACACAATTCCAAATGCACTAAATGGACTTCCTTATTTGTTCACCAGAAAACTCTGGTGAACAATATTAAAATTATGTTATATTATGTTCTGTATTTGTACAGTCTTTTTGTGTTTTGTTTTGTTTTTTTTTTTTTTTTTGTATTTTAGGGAAGGGTCTACAGGTGTTCAGCGTCTCATTACTAGATGAGACTCATAATGATCCGCCTGTTCACAGCCTCCCAAGAGCTGGGATTACAAGGTACCCACCACTACGCCCAGTGTCTTGTACAGTCTTTATCCCAGTCTTAAATTTTCAGTTTAATTTAGAGTGTATTTTCTATGGTCTTGCACTTTACTACACTTTGGTTTTATTAAGATGATTCAAATCCTTTGTTGAACAAGCAGTGGTACAAATCAATAAAGATAAGTTAAGCATTTAGAGAGAATTTTTCCTTGCTCCATTCCTAAAAAAAAAAAATACTAAGTAAAAGCAAAACACTATTCAGGCATTTAACTCACAGAAATTAATAAAAACATACAAAAAAAATTTCCTTTTAGATGGGAGATACAGCACACCCTATAATCCTAGCACACTGAGAGGCCAAAGTAGGAGGACTGAAAGTTCAATCTCATCTAGGCAACTTAGCAGACTCTGTCTCAACATCAAGCAAATAAGAAATCAAGCAAACAAACAAAGGAGCCAGAGCATTCAAGGATTTTATCCATAATACCATAAAACAATTTAAAAAAAAAAAACCTTTCAGTGAAAGTGATTACATATAAACAAAAAATAGTATATTTGTATAAACCTTTATGCATATACAATATCAATTTCAAGCTGGGAAGTACTTATAGAAAGTACTTATTATCTTTAACATTATAAACATCCTTTTGGTAAAAATGTAAATTTAATATGAAGCTAGTTTGTGTAGGTCTTCATGTTAGATAAAACTTTTCCAGAAATCTAATCATACACCTTTTCCATTTGAGATGAGCAAGTTTTGTTTTTGATTTAACTTTATAGTTCCCTCAGATTCTTTTGCACTTGAGGGGGTAGGTATAGGTACTTTTTTTCAGGAAAACTACTAAGCAACTCAATATTATAGATATTTTGAGATCTGTATTGTTCTCTTCATCCAAAGCAGCATTAAAGACTGCAGCTCTTCAAAGGGTGTTTTGTGTTTTATAATTACTTGTATGCACAGGTTTTAGTAGCTATTTTTGAGGAAAATACAGTATTCAGAGAAGTTTCTAGTGAGTGATTTCTGTGAAGAATGAGATAAAAATTAAAAATAGGGTAAATAATATTATCCTATACTCTTACCTTAGAACTGCAAACAGCTATGTTAGCAGGAAGCTGGGAAAACTGTTGCAACTCAAATACATCACGTGCAGCCCATCGGCTCATGTGGTTTTCAGCTTTGCTTGATCCAATCACATTCTGGTTTGAGTGAACATAAGCCACTTCCTGAACACCACCTAGGAGGTAATTAGAGCTTATTGGATGATGTAGCAATATGAAGCAATATGGTCCCACGTACACTTTGAGATCACCAACACCATGCAAAAATAGGTTATCTGTACTTCATTTTCTGAGCTGGGGAGATAGCTCAGCAGAATAAGTGCTTGCCTGGCAAGCACAAGGGCCTGAGTTCAGAAATACTTTTTAAAGATTCTGTTTGGCAATGCTGGGGACTGAACCCAGGGCCTTGTGCATGTAAGTGTCTTACTGAGTCACAACCCCTACCCCAATGCTTTATTTTTAATCCTCACAGAAAACATTTAATTTTTATGTTAATATCACAATATTCTCCAAATACATTGGTCTAGGTTAACCTGGAAATTACTTTTTGCTCTCACCAATATGAGAACTGTTAATTATGCCAATCATGCAGGCTTGTGGGTTAGCTTAGTTGTTTAAGCGCCTGGTGGGGCAAACCCAGTCAGGTGCTGGGGACCGCGGTTCAATTCCCAGCTCCCCAAGTCTTACCAGATGTGCCCTTAAGGCAGCCTGAGCCAGCTCCCCGCTAAAAAAAAAAGTTACTGCCAATCATGCAAAACAAAGTATAGTTATATAATATGATTAAAAGAGTAAGGCAAAAATATTTTCCTTAAATTTCAAAACACCAGGTAGTATACACAGCAGTTTCAAAACTCCCAAAAGGATTCTTCTAGGTAATGATCTTTAAATTTAAATCTGAAATGGGGGCTTGGGGCACAAGAAAGTCATGGCTGAAAGTCCTCTCTATGACTGTGTCTTCTTTGTTAATTAAAAATAAGTTGTATACTAACTAAAGTAGTGCTGGCATTATCTGTTCCAGAAACAGGTCCTTGTGCACAGTAACAGAAAGGGAGTATGGAGTAGTGACTAGGGGCTTCCTTTAGGTTGGCTATGTTCAATTTTATTACTCATATTATGTCTTTTATACTCCCTAGACCCAGAAACTACCAAAATGGGGGTTCTTTAGGAAACAAAAAAAATTTAATTCATGGCTTTTATCTAAAAGAGATTTTTTAAATGGCTTTTTAAAAAATTTCTTTGCTTTTAGGTACCTATAAATTATTTTTAAATTGTGATCATAAAAGAGAAGTTTAGCCAAGAGGCCTGTCAAAGCTCCCTCAAACAGCACTGGCAATGTACCTCAATCATGAGCATGCAGGCCAGTGTTGCTCTGAAGCTCTCTTAACCAGTCATGAAGCACAACCCACTGTTACATGAGATTAAAAGGACTAGGGAACCATTTTCTTTAAATTTTAAAACACTAGGTGGTATGTATGACAGTTTCAAAACTCCCCAAAGCATTCTTCTGCTAGAAAATGTACTCAGATTTTTTCTTAATTTTTATAGCACATTTTATATATTATTCAAGAGTCCCAAAATATTATCACCTTTTAACAGGAAAAAAAAACCAACCCTCCAAATCAACTAACTGTTTAAAACATAATTTGTACAATAATTCCTTGAACCTAAAATCTCACAGTAGCACAATCAAAAGATAATCGGTGGGCTGGGGAGATGGCTCAGTGGAATAAGCGCTTCCCTGGAAAGCACAAAGGCCTGAGTTCAATCCCCAGTTCCACCAAAAAATAAAAAATAAAATAAAATAAAAAGATAATTGGTACTCAGTTACACTGGTATCAAAATATGGATCCTGGACCAGGGAAATAGCTCAGCAGCAAACACACCTGTCTGGTAAGTACAGGTCCTGAGTTCAATTCCCAGTACCAATACATAAATAAATTAATAAATTAATTAATATTCCAGTGCACTTTTAGACTATTCACAGCCTGATGTATGAATAAATCCAGCACAACAATAAGCAAAATATCTGATTTTACATTCACTTCCTTTAAATAGTCTTATGGGAATAAACCAAAAACTGAAAGTAATGCTGACTCTTAGGATCACTAAACAGGGGTCAGGAATATCACTCAGTGGCACAGTGCCTGCCTGGCAAGCACAAGGTCCTGAGTTTGATTCTGGGTACCCCTTCACAAAAAATAATAAATAAAGAAAAACCATTAGACAGATTCTGGGCAGAGATTGGTAGCAAGGGAGACAATTTTCAATCTTTCTGAATCCCACATGCAAAAAGGCCTGAGTCACAGCAAAATTAAATGAGATAATCCATGAGCTCTAAAATATAAGCAGGCAGCAGCAACCTAATAGGCATGAAGTCTGCAAGATATCAGGGTCTGTGAAGAAGGAAGCACCAGGATGGTACTGATGGACCTAAGAAGAAGAACTCCAGGAAAGTCAATAGGCATTGTTGGAAAACATACTAGGCCAGCCAGAGGTCAGCAGCTCAATCTGGGCAGGTGTCTTGCTCACCAGTGTTGAGGAGACTGGGAGGGCTGCAGGAAGAATCCTGGGGAACTAGAACACACTATCTTCTACCTCTCCCAACTGACTGGCCAAGGCTCCTGCCCAGATCAAAATTCAACAAAGAGGAGAAACTGCTGGGAGGGGACCAGTGTGTGGGACAGGATAATTAATCATTATGCAAACAAGTAACTTTGTGTAAAAATAAGCATGAGCAAAGTATCAAGGTCAAATCTCAAAGGATGATAAGAGAAAAGAAAATACGCAGCAGAATAAATCCCTATCACTGAAAGCAAGATGCAAGAATGTGCTCACAAAATAGATCAAAACTGTGACTGATTATAAGAACATAAAACAACACATAAGTTAGAATTATAACTCAGAAATAAGTGAAGAACTCAAGAGTCTCACATTTTAAAAAGTGTTTCAGAAATAAAGACAACTATGGTAGAAGGACCATAAGAAAAAATGGACAATGTCTTACATGAAATGGAAAATTTTAATAAGGAAAAAGAAATGAAGAGAGTTGGAGATATAGCTCAGTGGCACAGCAACTACCTGGCAAGCGCAACATCATAAGTCTGATTTCTAGGGCTGGGGAGACGGCTCGGTAGAATAAGTGCTTCCCTGGCAAGTGCAAAGGCCTAAATTCAATCCCTGTTTCCGCCAAAAAAAAAAGTTTGATTTCTAGTAGCCAACCACCATCACCACCACCCCCACCCTGCCCCCGCCAAACAAAAAGAAATGAAGAAGAGAGACGATGGATTTAAGGCTAATTCTGAAACCAGACAAAGGAAAGCAAACATTAAATAACAGGAGTCAGTCCATGAAAATGAAAACCAAAGGAAAAAAACAGAAAAAGTAATACTGTACAAGAAAGCTTTCATGAAATGAAAGCCAAGGCAAAAGGACACTGAGTATGTAAGAATAGTGACCCAGAATAACTAATTCTAAGACATAATCTAGTAGAATTACTGGACAATAGGAAAGGGACAAAAGTTCCTTAAGCATAGAGGGAAGGGAGACATGTGACATAACAGTTTGTATCAGAAGAAAATGAGGTGGTATATTTAAGATAGTCTACAGAAAAAAGTATGAACCGACAATTTTCTATTCAGCAAGACAGTCTTTTACATAAGAGCATCAACTCTCACTGCAATAATCACAGGAAAAAAATAACACTCCCATGAACACTTCCTGAAGAATTTAGTGGAAAAACCTTCAGACAACAAAAATGACCAAAGAAACACTTATCCAAAAACTGTTGTGGAGGATTAAGTTTACAGTTCATCTCCTGAAAACCATGAATAAAGAGAAAGAATATATAATGTCATGTCAATATCCATGACATAATATATTCATTTTAGAAATAGAAAGAAATGGAACAGTATATGGAAAAAACATTAAACCAAAATGTTTCCAGCAATTATAGCATGCCATTATTGCCATTTTATTTTTAGTCTATTGTGTAATGTAAACATTCAAGTAGTTGTGAGACATCATGATTAAATCATTCCCTGTATGTTTGTAAACCAGAATATAACATAGAAGTTAAGCGAAAGCTCTACATTCTCAACTTATCAATATAAATATATTAAGTATAAATGTGAGTTCTTGAGCTAATTTATCGTCATCACATATATCTGTTCATACATACATAATGTACATATACACATATAAATGTGTGTGTAACCAAAAATATATATACAAAGTCTGACTAGTGAAAAGTTCTAGAGACACTAATCACACTAATAATTTGCAATGATTATTCCCATCACTAGACTATGGTCTTCAAACACACTTTGAAACCTAACACTTCAGGCTGGTGAGATAGCTCAGTGGACTAAGCGCCTTCTTTAGGCATGCTCAAGGACTGGAATTCAATCCCTGGCACCACCTGCAGCACCAGCATCAGCCAAACCCCCAGGCATGCTGAGTTGGCCACCAAGACTGTCCCAATGCTGTGGAGGCTGAAAACAAGAGTCTGAGCTATGTAGTGAGATCCTATACCAAATACATTAAATAAAAAAATAAAAATAAATGGAAAAAAAAAAACAAAACCCAAGAAATAACCATCTCCAGGTTTGGGCCAGAAAATATACAACACAGTTCTGGAACATCCTGTAATAAAAGATAAGGAAGATTTACCAAATGATCTTAGGAACCAAAATGCTCATGTCAAATGGCTCTTGCTAGGCAAAGATGAGATATATTAACCATAACAGTGACATTAATTATAAGAGACTGAGACCATTAAGTGTGTTTAAATCAATTCATAATGATTTAGAAAAGAACAGGCCCTTTTCAAAGGACAATATAGAACTAGTTATTATGTTGCTAACTGGTAAATAAAGAAAGGAAATTTCCATGCCTTTCCTATATAACCATAGCATTGGGTAAGCAATAGCTAATGTGCAGAAGTATTTTTAGCAACATTCTAACTAATAAAAAAGAAATGACAGAAGCAGAAGAAACAGAAAATACCTTTCCACACCAAATAAATAAATAAATAGGTATAGGCACCAAGAATGAGTGGTTGCTAAGAAATATAAAGACAGCAAAGCAACATTTTGTATCTCCTACAGTCTTCGCAAACACTAGGTTTGTCTTGCCAAAGGAAATAATCCTGAATCTGGAAATGAATCCAGTTTTGGGA